ATGGCGGCTTCCAAATAATTTTTTGTTTTTGTATAAATGACGATAACTCCGTTGTTATCAACACAAAACTATCACTGTGACATATCATCTGTAAGAGAAAACAAAGTTATTTGTAACTAAGTCATAGTGAGCTATGCCCTACATTTGAAAAACTGAAGTTGGTGCTGATATCTCAAATTCTAGAAGAGTTGGTATTAATTTCATATTTTTTCGAAATCACTTTGTAAAACTGCCATGAGAATGTGAAATTCCTATTCAAATATTTTCATAAATAAAGAAGTTACGGAGGAGACATGAAAATGATCAAAATCTGTTTTTTGCGTATAAAACAAAAACGAATAGATTTTATCAAAGTATTTTTTCACATTATAGTTGGCCTTGACAAACTCCACATTTGGTGTCATTTAACCGACCTCGTATCTCTCACCGTTAAAAAGATACCCATGGTGAGCATGGTAAGTGGGACACACTGTATACAATTCATCACCGAACCTATTGTATATCAACACCCAACTCATCATCGACGCAACCATTTCACTAACATTCAACTCACCATTTTTGTGTCTCTATCTCAAGATATTTGTCTTCATCAACAATATCTCACGTGTTATATACAGGGTGATTCATTAAGAATGAAAAATCTCTGAACTACAGATAGTAAACACTATGTATGTATGTATGTTGCTGGTTTAGGAGATACAGGGTGTTGTGAGAGGAGATTTTATTTTAAAATATCTCTATAATACTTTGTTAGATTCAACATCATGAACATGAAATCTTGAAAATTCAGGTTCTCTGAGGAATACGAATTTGCAGACTTACTTTTTGATTGCTCATAGAGGGCGCTAATGGCACTCTGTTACTTATAACTCATCAACGATTCAATTGATCGACGCAAACATTTCACTAACATCCAACTCACCAACGAAACAACTCATCAACGATCCAATTCATTAGCCCATCTAAATCATCAACACCCAACTCACTAACGACCCAATTGATCAACACTACCCACCAAATTCATCAATACCCAACTCATCAACGATCGAACTCCTCAATGACCTAACTCATCAACGCGCCTATTTCATCAATACCCAACTCATTAATGGCCAAATTCATCAACGTTTTCTTCATTTCATCAACACCCAATTTATCAACGACACAACTCAACAACAACCCAAATCATCAACGAGCCTATTTCACGAGCTATTTCATCAACACCCAACTCATCAACGACACAACTCAACAACGACCCGATTCAACCCAGATCATCATCAACGACTCAACTCACCAACAAATCAACTCATCAAGGACCCACGACTTCATTAACGGCCCAGTTCATCAACGACCCAACTCATCAACGACACAACTCATCAACGACCCAACTCACCAACAACCCAACTCGCCAACGACCCAAATCATCGACACAACTTATATCAACGGCTCAACTCGTCAACAACCCAACTCATCATCGTTAAAACTCGCATCAACTACGGAATTGATTACTAGTGAACTGATAATCTTCTCTCACTAATTTCTTGATGAGATTTGCATACATTTTATTCTAAGTATTTCATCTTGTTACTCATTTCTGAACTTATAATATGATATAAATAATAACTGTTTCACGGACTAAATCGTGGATGAAATTTTTTTCTGAAATTCCGGTGTCATTATCGAGGTCATTATAGAAGATTTAAAGTCGCTTCAATATCGAATATTTTGATACGATTCTGTATATTCTCAGAATATTCTTTGCTCATGGCAAATTGAATTTGCATGGAATAATTGTTGCCAGGTGAAAACATTTCAATCAGAATATTCTAAAATGAGTAGGTACGGACGTTGTCCGAATATTCTTGAAATATTCTGTACTTTTTTGAAATATTATTACGGATTATGGACGACACGTATGGTTATTTTTAATTAGAATGAATAATACACCTATATGATGTCATTTGCTTCTGTCCTGAGAAAAATAAGAGGTCGTTGGATTGAAATGAATAAAAAGACGCTACAAACGCGAATGCGAACAAGAACAAAATCGGAAACAAATTTATTCTATTGTCACGTAAGCATATGAGACGTTGTGGTGGGGCAAACAAAGAAATCGCACAGAAGAACAAAAACAATACTTTCAATATTCTTCAAAGCCATATCTTTGGGAAGTGTATATTTACGTCTCAAAAAAACATCCTCAAACCAACATTTTTGAAACATCTAAAACATCCCAGGCCTCTTTGGAAAGTGCATATTACGTCCCCAAAAAAACATCTGCTCATGCCAACATTTTCAAATCATCATAGATGAAGAAACCCAAAGTCATCTCCACAACATTTATTTGACGATCAGAGATCGATCACATAGAAGAGGTACATGTTTCGGGCTTATATAAGCCCATCATCAGCCGAATACAAGAATTAGTTATGGAAATGAAAAAGTTGAACTTTTGATAATTTAGACAATAAAATGGCACAAGACAAAGACGTATGCACCATGATTAGGTAAGCTATAGGTCCCGCTCTTCCGAACCCCGCACGATTTTTGACTTCTGGGTAGTTGGTTCCCAACTTTGAAATAACGGTATACAAAAAATATATATAATATAGAAACTCTCAATTAGTAGATATTCATGATCAAACGTTCCTAAATTAGTTTGATTTCAAATTACGATGTTCTGCTCATTGCTCATCATCTCTGACATGCAAATCAACTTAATTTTGATCAAATCGTTAAAAAACAATCGAAATATATATGTATTATATTTTTCTAATTCCGCAGAGCCGGTCCTGTTTTATGGTCGGATAGCTTTGTTAGCAAAGTTCCTGCACTCATGTATGCACCTAAAAATTAGAAGACTGTCAATGCCTCCTTCTCACTTTCTCACGAGTGCCTGCAGACAGCTGCAGACCGTACTGTCGTCCAATATTCTGGCTTCCAACGCAGGACCGTGCACACGATACGGAATTGCATTCTTTTTACAAACGTAAATTATCAATGGTACGGTGAGCCAAGCATCAGCATGCCAAGCCTGCGGCCGTAATTTTCCGGATATATTTTCTACGAAGAAGATTCATTTGGGCCGAGTTAATTCAGATTGTTTAAAAAATCTAGTGTATTTTTTTCTCTAGTAATTTTCAAAATGGAAGGTTTATTTAGGGAGAGTTAAGTAAGTTTGTTAAGGAGTAATAATCTCTTTCGTTCTCTCAAGTAATTTTTCAAGAAATTTATTCACGTTCAATCGTACGCGATGAGAATACTTCGCGTTTTCTACACAGTACGCGAAGTACAATTTCGAAGCTGTTACTTATGGCAATGACTGTCAAACCAAACTACCGATTATGATATTCCTAAATGTTCAATAACAATATGTCCTTTCAGTTATTTATATCAATAATAGTGTGTATAGAATGATCGCGGAACTTTTTTTAGCGACCCCAAGATTATCTTGCCTCGAAGGGAAAAGGCCTCAGCGATAACTTTCCTTTCGGCACACCAAACAAAACAACTATATTTTCGTGCAATCACTGCAATCGTACGCGGCGAGAGTACTTCGCGCTTTCTATCTGTGCTCTCTATACGCGAAGTATATCTTGTGACAGAGAAACCAAAGTCCATACAAGCGTCTAGTTAGACCAGCAAATCTTTGAAACATCGAGGTCAAGTGACGTCATCCAATTCTTCAAAAATATACTTTTCAGAAAAGAGGTTTATTTAGGACAAGTTGGGTTGAAAGTACTTTCCTTTTCCAGGTTTATTCAGGACAAGTTAGGTTGAAAGTACTTTCCTTTTCCATGCAGATGAGATATTTTTCTTCCTCATATTATTACCTTTTATAAACACGAATAACCTTGAGGTTTGAAAGATTCCCAGGTCTAGCTAGACCCTAGACCATTGTCACTTCGTTATAATCTGTGACGCTGTGAAGTCTACTTCCGAATGTGACATTCCAAAGTACGGCAATAGCAAGGTTATTCAGGGTTTGTCGAGAAGTGTCAACAAATTTTGTAATCATAGGTCGCGTGCACAATGACCGACCCTGGAGGCAAAATATTGAAACACAACCTCATTCTTCTGTGAATTATTGAAACACAACCTCACTTTTTTATTTGGTTACAGAAGAATCAAAGGATTAAAATAGTTTTCCGCAATATTTTGGAATACAAATCGTGTTTTTTGCGCTTTTCATTAATTCGAGCATGCCTTCGCATTGTGCTGTTGTACAATGCACAAAAAATGCAGCAAGAGACTAAAGAATATGATTTTTTAGGTAAATAGTAATCTCACATAGTTATCATTATGAAATGTTGTCATTCCTTATTAAAATTCCTTCTGCGCCTTCTGCCACTTATGCAATATACATATACAAGCTAATACTGCTAATAGATTGAAAATGTCTACAACACACACGATCGTCAGCATGTCAGACCAGTCCTCCGGATTGATTGCATGAATCATCTTACATGAATCCAATCTTCTTGCATTGTTTCAGAAATTTCAGGTGTATTTCTATTAGCTCCTATCGCAGAAGGAATTCCAATGAGAAATCAGAGAAACCACCGAATTTCAAAAATGAAAACTATATGTGAGTGAGACTATAGTAGGTACTTACTTTTAAATCATATTGTACCAACCGGATTACTTCGTCTTCCGCTGCAGTTTTTGTGCATTTCACAACAGCATAATGTCATGGCATGAGCGAATTGATGAATAGCGGAAAAATACGATTCGTATGCCAAAATAATTGTGAAAAACTATTTCGATCACTTGTAAACAAATAAGAAAAGTGTCAATGTTTCGCCTCCAGCGTCGGTTATCTGACAGTTCTTGCACGCAACCTATTCCAAATGCACGAAAAATAGGTGTATGTATACCATGACCGCGAAACTTTTTGGAGTCCGCAAGAATATCATAATTATTGTCTCCGCCGGTAACGGCCTCGGCGATAAGTGCGGGAACCTCAGCGGGAACTGTCTGCAGGCACTCGTACTTACTTTCTTCTTCTTCTTCTTTTAACCTCCAATTAACAAGGAACAAATCACTAATCAATCATGGAAAGGATGATTATGGGATGATCGAATTGTGATAAAACTGATAAAAGTAAGTTGTAGTCATGTTGTAGTTCACTTCAAATTTGTAAATATACTACCTTTATCATAATTCATATCACCATAATATTAATGTTTGTTATTTGATGAGTCAGTTCCACGTATTCACCACAATCGAATGTTTACTTACCAAAAGTATTGAAGTAATCAAATATCATGTCTTCAGTAAAACTATTGTGCCTCTTTGATGTAGATGGAACTTTAACGAAACCCAGGAATGTAATACAGACAGAGCTCTTCGACTTTCTGCAAAACCAAGTAAAACCATTGTGTACACTTGGATTAGTGGGTGGCTCAGATTTGAAAAAAATTGATGAACAAATGAATGGAGATGTCCTGAACAACTTTGATTATGTTTATCCAGAAAATGGACTGATACAATTCAAAAATGGAAAAGAAATTGGTAGACAAAGCATACAAAAGTTTTTGGGTGAAGATGTTTTACAAACTTTAATCAACTATGTACTGAAATATTTGTCCAATATAACATTACCAGTTAAGAGAGGTACTTTTGTGGAATTCAGGGCAGGTATGTTGAACATTTCTCCTATAGGGAGATCATGTTCTCAGGAGGAAAGAGATGCTTTTGAAAAGTATGACAAGGAACATAATGTTCGCAAATCAATGATTGAAGACTTGAAAAGACAGTTTCCAGATATTGGCATGACCTACAGTATAGGAGGACAAATTAGTTTTGATGCTTTTCCAAATGGATGGGATAAAACTTATTGTCTAAAGCATTTAGAGAATGAAGGTTTTGATGAAATACATTTCTTTGGTGATAAGACTGACAAAGGTGGAAATGATTATGAAATATTCAATGACAGCAGAGTTATTGGGCATAGAGTTGTTGGACCTCATGATACAAAAAAACAGTTGGAACAGATGTTCAATCTTTAAACCATTTCTACACATCAATGATTGATGGAGTGATTGATAAAACATCATGATAAACTAAATAAAAGCTGTATTTTTACTTATGTTTATTTAAAAGTTGATGTACCATCAAATCCATTGTGATTCAGCTAATGTTATCAGTAAATAGTAGATATACATATATATCAGCAGACCTGCTTCTCAATTTCTCAATCCACCCAAAATCTATTCCCAGCATTTTCAGGTCTTTTTTCTTCACTTTTGAACTCATAATATTTCAATACAGGGTCCTGTCCAAATATTTTGAAAAATCTGAAGATCACTGATTCTGTTTTTATTTATTATTTTAATTGATATTTGAGAGAGGAAAAATAAATTGTGTCTAAGCAGTAAGTTAATCATGGCAAAGAAGTTGGGTTGGCATTGTCAGAAATATTCTCCAAAGAGAATATACAGGGTGTTCATTTCAGGACTTCCCACCCTAATTTTCTCGAAATGTGTGTATTTTTTCAAAAAATCCCGAGACACGTCAACAAATATATCGAAGGGGACAAGTTTTCATCAGAAAATAAACGCGCCCCCTTTCATCCCCTGCAAGGGGGAGCTACCTACTGCGAAATCATAAATGAGAAGGGGTATCGAGTCATACCTCATTTTGAAGGTATTTGTAATCTCTACACGTCAGTGTTTCGTTTTTCGAAATTGATCGATCCGTTGTTGAGATATTTAGGAAAATCAGTTTTCTGATGCATATACCATTGAAGGTCTTTTTAATGTCTTCACGTCGGTACTTCTTTTTTAAAATTGTTCGATCCATTTTCGAGATATTTAAGCATTCTGTTCGCTGCCGCATATCATCGAAACAAAAACACTTTAACTGTTTTTTGCTTAAATTTACTTCTAATCTAATGTGCCTCGAAAGGTATGCAAAAAAGTGTACTTGGCAAAAAAATAAAAGACATCGATTTATTCACTATAATTCTCAGTTGTGTGATAGTTGTGATTTGATAAGGCACTGTACTTAGTAAAAATGGTTTACACTGTAGCTGAAAAAGTCGAAATAGTGTTAATTCATGGCGCCAAAAATCGATGTGCTTGACGAACTGCCGCAATATTTAACGAGAGGCACCCAGATAAGAACACATCTCATCGGTATGTCCTCAATCTGATCGCCAAATTCACTCAGACAGGATCTGTTGCAAATTTAAAACATGATCAGCCAAGAGTCCTGACTGAACCCACTCAAATTGAAGTATTAGGCTATTTTAGTATGAGTCCTAATACTTCGTTACGTAGCATTTCTACTGCAACTGGAGTTTCCTTAGGCTCTGTCCACAAAATAACGAAAATTGATAAATTCCATCCATATAAAATAAAAATCTGTCAAGAGTTGAGTGAAGACGACTTTGACAGACGAATTGAGTTTTGTGAGCAGATGACAACAATTATTAATAACAATAACGCATTTTTAAAAAATGTCTGCTTCTCTGATGAGTGTTCTTTTTATTTGAATGGATTTGTCAATTAACATAATTGCAGATATTGGAACAATGAAAATGACCATGTGTTTGTCGAAGGGCATACCCAATATCCCCAAAAACTGAATGTATGGGCCGGTATACTAGGAAATCAAGTAATTGGTCCATTGTTTATCGATGGAAATCTAAATGGTGAGGTGTATTTGAATATGCTAGAAAATACGATCAATCCGCTAATTACTGAAGCACTTGAAAATCAACTGGATTGAGATGGAAACACCTTTCTTGATGAAAACCAGTTACATTTTCAACAAGATGGAGCTCCTCTCCATTATGTGCTTCCGGTCCGTCAATGGTTAGATAACGTGTTTCCCGGTAGATGGATAGGGCGACGAGGACCTATAGAGTGGCCAGCCAGATCCCCGGATTTAGCACCATGTGATTTCTTCCTTTGGGGACATTTGAAATCAGTTGTTTACACACGTCCGCTGCAAAATTTTAAGAGCTTCGACAAAGGATCACCGCAGAATGTCAAGTACTTCGACCAGAAATGTTTGAAAATGTGCGCCACGCATTTGAACAGCGGTTATACCATTGCTTGGGCAATAATGGACAACATTTTGAGCAATTACTGAAGTGACAGTAGGGTGAAATATTGATATTTAGGTTTGAAGTAAAGGGAATGAGAATAAACAGTTGCAGTTTTTATTCCAATGGTATACGCATCAGAAAACTGATTTTCCTAAATATCTCAACAACGGATCGATCAATTTTGAAAAACGAAACACTGACGTGTAGAGATTACAAATACCTTCAAAATGAGGTATGACTCGATACCCCTTCGCATTTAAGATTTCGCAGTAGGTAGCTCCCCCTTGCAGGGGATGAAAGGGGGCGCGTTTATTTTCTGATGAAAACTTGTCCCCTTCGATATATTTGTTGACGTGTCTCGGGATTTTTGAAAAAATACACACATTTCGAGAAAATTAGGGTGGGAAGTCCTGAAATGAACACCCTGTATGTCCCGAACATGTACCAACCAATTCTGATGTGTTGATAACATATTAAATTTTAAATTAAATTTTTTTTAGAATCCGTCATTGTCAATTTTGATTACCAATTTGATTCAAATTGTTGTCCACTGTCCCAAAAACGTACTAGGATTGGACGTAGGATTGGACCAATATTATCAGTTATTATCGAATATTGAAAATATGAGATTGGACATTTGCATTGCGAGAATATGAATATTGGGCAAAAAATGGACCTTGGTTAAACAGATTTCTTTGGGATTGGACACCAAGTGTACATACATATTGGACATAGTAGTTTACACCTCGGTTTAATGTCAATATCTCTTTAAGAGAAGATACAAGTGTTTTGAGCAAGTACACAGGGTGTCCCGAAATTAGCCTGCCAAACTTCACCAGCGGCTTCTACGATCAAAAATAGGAAGAGAAGTTTCAATGAACATGATATGAGAAACGGCTCCTAAGGGAGCTATGGCCCCCTGAAAGAGGGCTCCTGAAGATGATATTTCTTGAGTATTTCCGATACTCCTTGTGATAAAAAAATGAAATTTGGTACATGAACTAACTTTCCCATGCCCAATGCAGTGAATAATAAATTCATATCAAAATTTCAGTCAGGAAGACAGGGTGGGACTACATTAAATATTGCAAAACATTTTTTGTATGCATGTTTTTCGACAATTTAATCTAGAATTATGAAAATTCCCCTCTGCACAGAAAAAATGAACTCTTGTTCCGTAACGATCAGATGATTGTATCATTATCAAGTAGAAGCGATTTCAAAATATTGTTACATTTCAGATATTATGCATACTATTGCAATGAGTCGTAGTGGAAATGGAAAAAATGCATTTTCCAATTGTTCGCGCTTTTATGAGATTGTTTGGTGACTTCACTCGAAAATGATACATCTGATCGATGCGGAACAAGAGCACCTTTTCTTGGAATAAATAAATAGATTGATAAATATATTCACTTAAAAAGTAAGTTCAATATTTTGAGGAAGGATAATTGAACAGACTTTGACTTGGATTATCTATTTCACTATTCCTCCCAATAATGTGTTCCAGGGACCACATTATTTTCAATTCGAATTGCAAGAAAACTCTAATCATTTTATGTTTTATATGTATAGAGGATAAAAAGCTGTTTGAATAAAGTGTGATATATGTTGTAAATATTTATTGACTCATTGTCCAGTATACACAGGCTTTCTCTTTTCTTTAAATGCTGTCAAACCTTCGGATCTATCCTTCGTTGGGATCAACTGAGCATAACATGCCTCTTCAATAGCCAACCCTGTACTCAAATCCACCTGAATCCCTCTGTTGATCGCTTGCTTGGCCATTCTCACTCCCAATGGTCCATTTGCTAAAATTTCCTCAGCCATTTTCAAGGACATCAAATAAGCTGCATTCCCATCATCGTTCTGTTGGGCGATTTTATTCACCAGGCCTAGTTTTTCCGCTGATGCTCCATCAATCGTTCGAGCAGTAAAAATTAGTTCTTTTGCTAAAGAAGGATTTATGATTCGAGGAAGGAATTGAGTACCGCCAGCACCAGGCATAATGGCCAGTTTGGTCTCCACAAGGCCCATTTTGGCGTTAGATGCGGCAATTCTGATGTCTGAAGCCAGCGCAATTTCTAATCCACCCCCTAAAATATTGAATATGAATGTATGTATCAAGGGCGTAAAATACGCTTTCATGGACCGTAGCGTGTAAGTAACACGCCTAGGTCCATTAGAGCAAGGTACGCCCGAAATACATACAACATTTTATGCACGACCGGTATATTTGATTTCTCATTATGAATACCTCTCCGCCTCTCAAGAACGATAGAAATACATATGGCTGCAGTAAGGAATCTCATTGATGGAATCAACGTTACCATGCATGGTAAGTCAGTCAATGTTTTGAAATAGGAGTAGACTATTATACTGGGACCGGCAACAGGATCAAATGATTTTGGGAAGGTTGCTGAGGAAATACTGTTTCTCTACGACTATCGTATTCTACATTGATTACATATAGGTTAGTAATTCATGAATGAAGATGATTCCAAGACACCGTGGATCCCAACTCATTATTCAACGGCACTCGACCAATCACAGATTCAGAATTTTCAGGATCCACAGCAACTGAAAAGGTTAGACTAATGAAAAACCAGCAAATCTACAAAACAAATTTCTCAAGAAGGCTCTGCTTCATTTTACGGGTCACGTCACGGCTTGACTTTCGCGAATGTCAGATTGACTCATAGAGTCTTTCAAGTTTTAACTTTGATATCTGGAGGGTATAATATGGAGGCTTGCCGTTCCATAGAAATGTACTCTATGAATATTGAAGATATTCAAGATCTTGGATCTCCATGGATGATAACTATTCCTGAGACCAAAACAAAAATTGTAAGGAGGTTCACTGTAACCGGGAAATTTTATCATTTTTTTAAAAAGTAGGTACATTGATATACGAGCAGCAAATGTTGGGATTTCCAATTTTTTCATGAATTACCAAAAAGGAAAATGTACTTTCTAGAAAATTGGAATTAATAAGTTTGCAGCAATGGGAAAACAAATAGTTACATTACAGAGATGTACACCGGGCATTGCTTTGCATTGAAAACACATGGTGGCTGGAAGAGCACATCGGTGGCAGAAGGATTTCTAGAAGATTCCATGTTGAATACAAAAAACGGCAGACTCGAATTCTTCAATGAATCGAACAATGTTCATCATCATCAAATAACAGTTCCTTCACACAAAAAACATCAACCAGCAATATGAATAAAAATGTCAGTGTTGATTTAAATGCAACACCAACAATAAAATTTCACGAATTGTGAGAATATCACTAAAAATTCAGTCACTAAGTACGAGAAACATAATTTACTGACCTAATAATTATTGTGTTGTTTCATCATTGAGTTCGTTGAATATTAAAATTCATACATCAAGTATATTATTTTCATAAATAATAATTAGATTACATTAAATTTCTGACTATCGTATAGTCGTAGAGAAAGTATAGTCTTCTACTCGCGTATAATAGCTATTATTCTCTCGGATAATTCCGAAACTCGCCTACGGCTCGTTTCGGAATTATATCCTCGGGAATAATAGCTATCATTATACGCTCGTTGAAGAATATACTATTATTTGACAAACGTCAGTGATATAATTGTAGTTTATTATTGAAGGGTTTGTGTTACAATGGCAAATTTTCCGGTTGATCAACGGATCTTTGCTGTAAAATCATTTATCCTGACCCAGTCTATCGTGCAAACCCAGGTTTGGTGACATTGCATGGCCCGCAAGATCACCGGACCTGACGGTCTCGAATTTTTGTCTGTGGGGATACTCAAAACGTCCAAAGTGTACTCTACGCGTCCCTAAACATACTTTTGAAACTCAAAGAAAGGATTCGTGAGGAATTAAATTTGATAATTATTGAGGATTTACTCAGACGCGTTATAAATAGTTAATTTCAGAAACAGATTGCATCAATGTATAGAAGAAGACGGTGGTCATCTTAGGGACGTGATCTTAGCAAACTAAAAGTGTTATAAGAAATTTCCAGAATTGTGTTTTGAGTTGTAATAGTAATAAGTCTATGTTTTTTATTCCTTGACCTAGTGGCTTATTAAAAACAGTTCAATCCTGTTGCCGAACATTTTATTTGCTGTCAATTAATATGTCATGAGATATTACTTATTCCCTTATAGCACGAGTACGTCCCCAAACGTACTGAGAACGTCCGGCCAAGACGTTTCGTACGTACGTACGTCCAGATTAGGACCGTAGACGTACTACGTACGTACAGGGGACGTCCAGATTCTGCGAATTTGTACATACGCCCTTTTTGACTCAGATAGTTGAAAAAGAGATCTAGACAGACTAGAAAAAATCTTATTCTGTTAAAAAAAAATGCTAAAATGATTGAAAAGTATTGCTAGTGGTGAAAAAAATTAATATACATCTTGGTAGTACAGAATAACGGAACCTTATACCCCTCGGCTGGAACCTCTGAATATAGTCTTGGTCCTAGGTAATACTGATATTCTTTACTACCTTGGTGTATAAATAACTATACCCGCGGACATTATCCCTGATGAACATAATTATGATAATATGTCGGCTTCTAATGGTAAGAGAACAATCAAATCTTCCCTCTATTTAATTGGAAAAAATACAGGGTGCTCCAAGATTCAGAAGTCTGATCACCCTGTATCTGTTCCAATTAAATGTCAGTAGATAGTGAATCCAAAGTTAAGATAGGGACATGTAAGCCGTTTTGATCGATAATGAATAGTTTTGACACAAAAAAATCCTTAAATTGAAAATTCTCGGTTTTGAACACCCTATATCTCTGTAATCATTCCTGCTAGACCCCAAGTATGATACTTGATGAAATCAGCTCTTCAGGAAGAATCTAAAAATGCAATAAAATACAGGGTGCGTCATTTAAAATAACAAAGTTGCTAGTTGTTTCTGATTGAAGTGGCAACACTGTATCGATGAAAATATTTTAGACGGATAGAGAATGTTCAATTATCAAAGCATCCCAATTTTCAGAATGTTCTGTTTTTTCGTTCTTCAGATACTTCTAATAGGCCATCCACCGTGGATCACTCGGTATTTTATCACTTGTTACCGCATGGCATATTTCGGATTTAATAAACAACGAATAATAAATAAATCAATTAATGAACGAAAAAGTCATCGAATCATTCAACATATTCAACTTATCATAGTACTTACAATCACTCATTCAAACATATTCAACTATAATCATATACTTTGTACCATTCAACATATCAAACACACATATATCAGACTAAATTATGCCATCGAAAAAAATATATTTTCCACTCTGACACGCTTTATCTCAAAAGTTAGGACGTTTATGACATATGAAGTTGATTTCTTGAAATGGATCCAAGAAACACCTTTTCAAATATTAGTATATCATTAAGGAACAGCCTGTATCATGTATAGTAATATTAAATACTTCCATTTTTACCTAATGCTATTCCATCCAGTGCTGTTATCGTAGGGAAAGGAATATTGAAAATTTTCTTCACGAGACCTCTTATACCTTTTACAAAATTATTTACTTCTTTTGGCGCCATCCCTGCTCTCTCTTTCAAATCAGCTCCTACAAAAAGTATTTGATCAAAAAATGTTCATCTATACCTATACGTAGGATTTACGTAAGCCATATACAGGGTGTCCGCTAAAAGGAGGTCAATCCATTAACCACATATTCCTTAAACAAAAACAATATGAGTTTCTAAATATCATTTTTCATTTTAGCCCTTCATATTCGGTCAAAGTTGGAAATTAAAAAATGTTTTTTTCTAATTACTCGAGTATTTGATAAGATATTAATCTCAAAATTGGTACATTACTTCAGCACAAAGAGTTACATCGTGTGAGGAAAACAAAACAGAAAATAACTGTCAAATATTCAAGATACTGGGGGTCAAGTTCACACTTACCCCCATATTTTGTTTGTACGTGCGCTAATGACTTCCTATCTATTTTCCTTCAAGTGTTCAATCATTTTTGAGTATTTTTTGTTTCCTGTAAAATTTCGATTGAATCATTTGTTTTTAAGATAATTCGAAAAGTACTGGTTATTGTTTGATGCCTATGCGGCTTAGGTAATCTCAAAATGTTCACATACTCCTATTCATTTCGTCGAAATTGAAAGAGGGCGTATCTTTTTACGTACGAAAAGGTGAATATGGAAATACCGGGTGCTCGGAGCAAATGTACTAAAATAATTTTTACAAAAAAAAAAAATTTAAAAAGTGTAAAAATTATTTTAATACATTCGCTCTGAGCACCCGGTATTTCCATATTCACCTTTCCGTACGTAATAAGATACGCCCTCTTCCAATTTCGACGAAATAAATAGGAGTATGTGAACATTATGAGATTACCGTAAGCAACAAGGCATCAAACAATAACCAGTACTTTTCGAATTATCTTAAAAACAAATAATTTTATCGGAATTATACAAAAATCAAAAAATACTCAAAAATGATTGAACACATGAAGAAAAATAGATAGGAAGTCATTAGCGCACGTACAAAAAAAATATGGGGGTAAGTGTGTACTTGACCCCCAGTATTTTGAATATTTGACAGTTATTTTCTGTTTTGTTTTCCTCACACGATGTAACTCTTTGTGCTGAAGTAATGTACCTATTTTGAGATTAATATCTTATTATTTAGCGAGTAATTAGAAAAAAACAGTTTTTAATTTTCAACTTTGACACCCTGTTTATCGAATAAGAAGGACTAAAATGAAAAATGGTATTTAGAAACTCATATTATTTTTGTTCAAGGAATATATGGTTAATGGATTGACCTCCTTTTAGCGGACACCCTGTATAGATTAAAAGTTTTCCATTTTACACTTGGATTCAAACTGGTATGTTGGTATAATATCGATCATTTCCAATATACCTGAAATATTTTCAGTCCTACAGCTATACAGGGTGTGCCAAAAGTCGGCACCTATTTTCTTGTCGAAAAATAGAGCACTTATTTTCTGATTTCTGATTCTGAATTCAGAAGACCATTTTTACGAACGTAATAATCATTCACTAGGAAATGGAGGGTTCAACATAAAATAGTATTTTTTTTTTCTACCTACCGGAGCTATAGAACGTTCCGGAATTTGCAGTTAATTTGAATTCACAATTTTACCGAGGCTGAAAATGAAAAAAAAAATGAAGCCAATGATAGTGATATGAGTGTGGGACACTATTCATAATAATTCAACACACCCTTATCAACATAAAATTGCAGCATGTAATAGTATGATGTCCCTCTTCAGGAAGTAAATTTCAATAAAGAACTCAATATCATCAAACAGATTGCAGTCAACAACGGATACGGAACAAAAATCATGAAAATTGTTCAAAATGTTGATCAATTTCACGTTTACAAAGATATACGACAAAAAAAATGGATACAAGCGAATTCACCTCAGTACATATATATAGTTGCTCAGTCTGGGCTCTGACTCACTCAGTAAAAAAACAACAAGAAATAGCTGATACCACATACCAATTTTTCTCGTCGTGTGAATCTTTGTAGACATAGAAATATTGAAAATTTTCAACAATTTTTATGGAATATCTGTTATTCGTTTTAGTGTAGACTGATGCTCCGAATTCAGAAAATTCAAATTACTCGAAACCATGAGATTAATCGTAATCGTCAAGGGTACCTTTTTTATAGTGAACAAGTTACGCCATCCAAATTTCATATTCGACCCCCTTTCTCTTTATTGGCGTTGAACTTTTAGATGTTTATTAACTGAAAAAATCAAGTTCTACGCCCATGGATGGAATGATATTCATCATAATCATGATATGGGTTATGAAGCGAAATCGATCGGGAAATTGAAATTTCAGAGCCTTCTAGCGGCCAAAACTAAGCAACTTTGTACTGAGGTAAGTTTGCTTGTATCGAATTGTTTTCGTCTGAGGAAAATGTGGTAAGTTTCTGTAAAGCCTTTTAGGGACACCCTGTATAGGAAATATAGTTCTTCAAATTGCATACGACAATTTGTTTCAAATTAATATTTACTATTTATTTCAAGTAATTGTTCACCTGCACAAAATGTTCCTGGAACCAAACTATGGATGACCAAAACACGTGCTTCATTTTCATAGACCAATCTATCAACATTTTCTGTGAGGTCCTTGAGGAGATTCACACTAACTGCATTTTTTTGTTGTGATCTGTTCAAGCCGAATGTGACAATGCCTTCATGTGGTCCTTCTAAATATTGCACTACCAAGTCATTATTCACTTTTTGCGAGTATCTCCTTGCACTTTTCAGAACTTGCAAGATCTGTTTATTCATCTTTCGTTGAAACTAAGTATAATAGTTCAGTTTTGCCAGTCTCTATGAAAGATCAGAGGTTAACAAATACTTATTCCCATCAACGTTGCGACGTTATCAAAATCATTCACGATCACGGCATAACGTTGACTAAAACGATAAAATAAATCCTTGATGAACGCATTTATGTAAATAGGTAGGTACCTAGGAATTATGTTAATACGTACCCATTATAGCCCACTTATTACTAGGATTACTAGGAAATTAGGATTCGAAGGTATAAAATTCATAAACAAACTATAATATCTTTTGGTGGATTGACCCATCTTATACTAATCTTCGCTACCTAGTAAAGATGGTAATAAAGATGTAAGCACTGATTCGTATGTCGGTCGAATTTCGCAACACCCTGTAGAAACTTGATACATCAAATAGATGTTGTGTAAATGACTTTGGGGTTTCACAAGGGATAAAATTCATAAAATAGATATGATATGATGAATTATTTGTTTTTTTAATCCCTGTTTTGAAGAACACATCAATTTGAAGTATATGCATGTATAGTTGGGGAATCTCTTGAAACAGGTCGATTGTCAATCTCAATTTCATACATTTATGAGACAAAATTTAAAGGTCTGTACACAATCCTAGCACATGATTATGAGGTCAAAATAAACCGATTTTGAAGAACTTTCCTTAGTTCGAAATTGCTCCGTTTCAGAGAGGTAGTAGCAGGTGATTGACTATGGATTTCACGCTTTCAACACTTAATATCTCGAAAACTAATTGAGATATTGAAAACTTCAGAACAAAATCTTGAATCAGATGTTTTTTTTTTCGAATGGTGCCCTCCAAACATTAAATCCCAATTCCATATGAGGGAGTGTGAAAATATTTAGTTTTTTCAAATAAAACAACCTATATTTTATTGCAAATCTTTAAAGAGTGATTTTTGCTAATTTCAAAAATATATAATTTTCATAAATCCATAGAGTAAATACTGGGTGAATCGAAGGAATAAAACTTGAGATGCATTGACATTTTTGTCATGAAATCATCTAACTCTAGTCAAGTGGAGCTGAAACCAGGTAATCGGGAAAGATCGATTGCCAGAGTTGACCTGACAGCAAATTTGAATTCAATTAAATAATTTCACGATCACAATTTCAATAATTTCAAGTTATATTCCTTCGATTCATAAATTTTTTTAATCAGAAGAAATCACTGTTTTAAAATGTCATCCTGTTTGATCTAGGCGTTATTATAAGTTCGCTTTTCTATGTAAGTATAACATCAGCTATTCATATTTGTATCTAAAATTATGTAGCGAGCGTCGGCAAGATGTACGCGGAATGAAAGAAGCTTGATTGCAACGTACAGAAAGTTGTAGAGAAATGGATATACAAATTAGAATTTTGTAGAATAGACGATGAAAAGGTAAGATAATTACAGATTTTTTTATCCGGCAATACATAAGGATGTTGGATGAAAATACGACGTCATAATGACGTGTCTTCTTAGGTCACTGTGCTACCTGGGAAGGGTTGAATTTTAAGAGCTTTCGGGAGGTTGTGTGATTTTTCTCATGCTGTCCGCCAACGTATTCTACGACCATTACTAGTTTTTTCGCTGTCTATCAATAAGGTTCATCTCATGACAATAGTGAAATATGAAATATTGTACTATTTTTGAGTGTGTATCGTTTCAGCCATATTCCTTCTTAGCCACATATCGTGTCAACCACATTTCGTCTCAGCCATATCTCGTTCCAGCCACATTTCGTCTCAGCCGCACACTTCGTCTCAGCCACATCTCATCTCAGCCACATTTCGTCTCAGCCGCACACTTCGTCTCAGCCACATCTCATCTCAGCCACATTTCGTTTCAGCCACAATTAGTGTCCATTTCGTCTTGGCCATCTTTCGTCTCAGCCTCATAGATTGCCCCAATGGCTCCCGTTCGTTTTGATCCCTTGCTAAAGCGGTCGGAAGAAATTTCACTAATAGTTCATTTCCACCACTGTCCAAATCCGACGGCACATTAGCAAGAACATCGCAGGAGAAAGCAAATATTTTTGAGAGAGTCGAATATGCCCGATATCGTTTTCCGTCAACGCACTATCAGACGAATTTTGCTTGGTCTCAAAACGAATAAGGCTAACGGTCCTGATGGAATTCCACCCATTATCCTCAAAAAAATGTGCACCAGAATACACACCGATTCTCTGCAAGTTGTTTACCGTCTCGTACAGGTCAGGTATTTTTCCATCATGCTGGAAGACAGCTAAATTCCAACCAATCCCCAAAACAGGGAACAAGAACCTGCCAACAACTACAGGCCCATTGCCCTGTTATCAGTAATCTCCAAAGTGATGGAGAAAGCCATCAATATTGAGCTTATCAAATATCTGGAGAGCTCAGGAATCATCAATGATAGACAATACGGCTTTCGCCACCGAAGGTCTACTGGAGATCTACTTGCCTACGTCACCCATTTATGGCAAGCTTCATTAGAAAAACACGGGGAATCTCTAGCTGTCGCGTTGGACATATCGAAAGCATATTCGACCGTGTTTGGCACGAACATGGCATGAAGGACTCCTCCACAAACTACCATCATACGACTTAGCACCTCAGCTATGCCATCTCTTATCGAGTTTTCTTTCAGGCAGATCTCTTCACGTGGTGGTGGACGGTGTGACGTCTGATACCATTGGCATCTCGATTGGCATCAATTCCGGCGTTCCACAATAAGGATCAATTTTGGCACCAACATTATTCCTTCTTCATATCAATGATCTGTTGGGAGTAACAACTTGCCCCATCCACAGCTTTGCAGATGATAGTACCCTCGATCCATATACTGCGTTCTCTTCCAGAATTTCCATTTCTTCCCAGGAAACTAAGAACTCACGGCGCAGGCAGGTCAATGCTGTCAATGAAGACCTTGCTGAAATCACAGAGAAGAGCCATTCGCCTGGTGGGTGACGCCACACTCACTCACTCTTTGACATCATTGGAACACCTTAGACAGGTCGGCGACCTTTCACTTCTCTATCGATACTTCCACGGGAAATGTTCTTCGGAAATCTCTGCTATCATCCCTTCACTAGCAATACCAGTCAGACGAACTATCGACAAGCCCAGTCAGCACATCCTTTCGTTGTCAACCTCGAAAGATGTCGAACAGCACTTTATCAAAACTCCTTCATCCATAGAACGGCTATAGGCTCTGGAATTCATTGCCTGAGGAAGTATTCCCAACAATATATTATAATCTCCCGAATTTCAAAAAAATTCCAATACCTACCTCCTGTCCCTATCCTCCCTAGGAACGCACGATGTTCTTTGAACATTATAGGGATTTACTTTCGTGCGCTCCAAGCGATAAAAAAAGCCACATATCGTCTCAGCCTCAAATTTCACATTCTTTACTGCCTGTCTTCTCATTCGACAATTTATATACCTATCTACGAAGCCCTGGAAGGGACACATAAAATAAAAAAAATAAAAACTCTTCAAAATTACATCAAAATTCCGACTTATATCTCGGAATTTTAAAATTCCGTGTTATAACTCGGAATATTGGATGTAAAATTCCGAGTTATAACTCGGAATTTTAAAATTCCGAGATATAAGTCGGAATTTTGATGTAAAATTCCGAGTTATAAGTCGGAATTTTGATGTGAAATTCCGAGTTATAACACGGAATTTTAAAATTCCGACTTATATCTCGGAATTTTACATCCAATATTCTGAGTTATAACTCGGAATTTTAAAATTCCGAGTTATATCTCGGAATTTTACATCCAATATTCCGAGTTATAACACGGAATTTTAAAATTCCGAGATATAAGTCGGAATTTTAATGTAAAATTCCGAGTTATAACTCGGAATTTTAAAATTCCGAGTTATAACTCAGAATTTTGAAGAGTTTCTATTTTTTTTATTTTATGTGTCCTTTCCAGGCCTTCGTACCTATCGCACAATGTACTTCAATGGCACATTTTTTTCTATCTGGAAGTCAACTAGAAATATGATTTTCTTGCGATTTATCCATATTTAGTGAAAAGAATAAGGAAGAATACATTTAAAATAATGGCGTCGGTAACGTCATTCAAACGCAATCTCGATATATAGTGGTTTGTTCACATTTTCATCATCAAATTCGTGTTTTCCAGACAAAAATACGTAAAAGTACCAAACAAATTCTTCGAAAAAAAAAACATAGCATGATAAGTGCAATTTTTCTCTTATGTGGCCGAGACGAAATGTGGCTGAGACGAAATGTGGCTGAGATGAAATGAGTCTGAAACGAGATGTGGCTGAGACGAGATGTGGCTGGAAGGAATATGTTTAATTTGATCCTCTTAAATTGGAAATTGGGATAGTATGTGGCTTGTGGCAACAGCGCATCATTCGAGTATGTTCAGATTCTGTGGGCCAGACGAAATGTGGCTAAGATGAGGTGTGGCTGAGGCGAGATAATATGTGGCTAAGACGAAATGTGGCCGGAACGGGTTGTGGCTGAGAAGAGATGCTCCCCTATTTTTATTTCAAGTCGAACGTCGGAGAATGCCTACTAGGTATGCAACCTATAGGTATAGCGGTGTCCGGGTTGCAACGCTGCAGGGTCCTGCCTAGGCCAAAAAACCAAGCGTTGAAGGATTAGGTAAGCATTTAATAGATGGCGCGAGCGGTATGATTGTGTTTTGTGGTGATTGTGATTGAAATGTCCATTATTTATACTCAAATCATTTATATTACACAGGGTGAGTAATAAATACTTTTGACAAGATGCAAATTTGTTGGTTTTAGATACCTATACTTACATATGATTCGCGTAAGTGAATTAGTGTTACTATTTATTTTTTCGCCTAATCTCTCATAAAAAGTTTCTGAATTATACCTACCAAAATAATGTTGAGTATTACGAGGAAAGAGGGGGGTGACACTTTCAAGTGGGACACCCTGTACAGGCTGACAAAAAACGCCCATATCGCCACTATTAACAATCCGATTTTGAAAAGCAAAATAGTAGATATACTATTATTGAAATGTAAAACTTCACAAACAATAAGATTTCCACAAAATTCTCAAACACACGACTTGGTTCGCTAACACAGTAGCTTCGTCAGGTGATAATTGTGA